ACTTGGATTTGACTTGGACTTATGGGCCAGTGACTCGAGACTCGACGTGGGACTTGACTTGGACTTGATTTGGACTTGAGGTCAAAGACTTGAGACGTACTTGAGACTTGCAAAACAACAACTTGGTCCGACCTCTGTACCTAACATATCATAGTTGTGTTTTGTTGCATTCACACATCCTGCATTTTTATATTTTTTATTATTTTTTGTATAATAAAGGACCTTTAAAGATGCACTATGTAACTTTTCTGCCACCTACTACTCTCCATAGTAATATGAACAAATAAATAATAATACATTTTATATATGGCATTTTTTCTAAACAAAGTTACACAAATAGTACAGTGGAGATGTCATTGTTTTACCTACAATGTTCCACAATATGGCATTAAAATGACACATTTTGCTTTTTTTTACTCAATTATTGGTGTTTTTATTGCTCCAAAATATATAATATGAGCAAACTCCTCTTCCCACAGATCTAACCTGTAACTTGACTTTGTACACCTGCTGGTCGTCATGGACATAGATAACTTTAATGCCATACTACGGAACATTCAAGGCAAAGCAATGCCCTCTTAACAGCAGACCTCCACCAGAAGAGTTACATAGAACAGCTTTAAACCTTCAATACAATGAAGTAAGCATAAGTAAACAGGCAGTAGTTAAGGCTACAGGTTGTAAAAGTTGGGCGGGGCTACAGTTCTGAGAAACCATTAGCTCAGATGTGTTTGTCATCAGGCCGCGTGGGACATTTATTGGACAGTTTCTGGGCTCGCCTTATTCCCCTTAGTTACAAATTCTTGAGAAATTACGGTAAATGTCAAAAGACTTCGACTTTCATTTTGATATCGCTGAAAAGGAACAAATAGAAGTGTAATGCGTCAGCTACTAGAAACCAAGACAGATGGTGTTAAGGAGGAAAAATGTGTGGAGCTGTGTTTGGTCACTGCTCTGTTTCATTCCATACAGACAACAGGAGCAGACAGGAACAAAGAAAAACCTCCCACAAATAAAGATGATGACACTTATGTGATGTACACACACTAGTACACACAATACTTCATAAATATGTTTTGTGGTTGGCACTGATAGTTAGTACCAAGCTGCTTCTACTTCTACTTCTACTTCTACTACTACTACTACTACTATTTCTATTACTACTACTTCTATTACTATTTCTACTACAACTTCTCCTATTACTTCTATTACTACTTCTACTACTGCTTCTACTACTTCTACTACTACTTCTACTGTTACTTCTATTACTACTACTACTACTACTTCTATTACTACTACTACTACTACTATTACTACTTCTACTACGACTTGTATTACTACTTCTATTACTACTACTACTTCTACTATTACTACTACTACTTCTACTACTTTACTTCTACTACTGCTTCTATTACTACTACTACTACTTTACTACTGCTTCTATTACTACTACTACTACTACTGCTTCTATTACTACTACTACTACTACTGCTTCTATTACTACTACTACTACTACTGCTTCTATTACTACTACTACTACTACTGCTTCTATTACTACTACTACTACTACTGCTTCTACTACTACTACTACTACTACTACTGCTTCTATTACTACTACTACTACTACTGCTTCTATTACTACTACTACTACTACTGCTTCTATTACTACTACTACTACTACTGCTTCTATTACTACTACTACTACTACTGCTTCTACTATTACTACTACTACTACTACTACTACTACTACTACTACTTACTTACTTACTTACTGCAGTTGAAAGACAGTGTTCGAATCTGAGCTCAAAACAATTCTGGTTAGTGAAAGAATTTTATTGACAATCCTCTATTAAAATGAATAAACTTTTTTTATTACCTCATTTGTTTCTACTGTAATTTTAACACAGTCTTCTTGCTCTGTAAAGCACTTTGAATTTAGTTGTGCAAAATTTCTGCTCTATAAAAGCTCGCCTTAACTACTACACACCTGGTTTAAGGTTATTTAATTGTTATATATTATACAAATGTGACTTTAAGAGCTTTTAATCATTGAATATGTTGTATCTTCATCATTATGTTATAATACAGTTATAATACACACATTTTAAATCACAATATTCATCTAAAATGACTTAATAAAAGAAACAAGCCCACTGACGTCCTCATTAGAAAACTACAGAGCCCAGAGGGAGCTGACGTCGCCACAAACGTCATCACAACAGAGTCTGCACCTCTGATGGATATACGCACCAAAATGACTACACAACTCTGCCAATCGATTAAGAAACCAAATTGGAGAACAAAGTAAGCAGAGAGCAGTGGGCGTATGACGATGGTGGTGAAAACAAGGGTTGATCAGCAATACGACGTCTTGAAAGTAAGTGATTAAAGACTGCTCAAACATGCACAAATAACTCCAAATACAACTCTGGGTGAGTAAATGGTGAGGAGAGGTGGTTAAAAGCTCTGAAAAGCTTTTAGTTGTATTTTGTCTCATGCAGTATTTGTGTCCAACTTACAGCATTTTTTTCACTTTCAGAAGTTTTCATGTGCATCTAAACAAAACTACACGATAAACATGATAAATTATGTTGGAGAAAACGATCTACACACCTCCTCCTGACCTCATTTTTAGTGCTAAGCCGCTCTGCCAGTCGCCCTGAGCGTACATGAAGAGGTGACAGCCCCGTTTGGGTTAATAATTTGGGCTTCATCAATAAACAGGACAGTTAAGAGAAAGCTGTTATTGTGCAGTATCCAATTAAATGTTTAGCTAACGAGGTGCTTAGGCTACAAATCAATCAGTGTGTCTGAGGAGAACTAAATGTCTCGATGACAACCTGAACTACACGAGTTTAGTCAGCTTTTCCTGCGCTCCACACTTCACTTTTAATTGGGCTGTCAAAGGCATGGATTCCAGCTGGACTTAGGGCCAAAGCCCAAACTCTTACTTTCTCACAGTCTCACTCGGACATTTTTAAACACGCTCTACCTGATTTTCTTAAAAACAGAAAAACACAACTAGTCCAAAGTTATTCCTCACTTACTTTATGTGTTCTGAGCGTCCTAATTATTCACCACAAAAAGTTTGTAAGTGCTTTTCATAACCAACCGCGCACTTCCTGATTATCGGACATTACACAGCAACAACAACTAGCAAGCTAACCACACACTTCTTGATTATCAGAGAGTACATAGCAGACTTTTTTTTTTTTTTTACCTCAACAACAACTAGCATGCTAACTGCACACTTCCTAATTACTGGATTATCAGCGAGTACGTAGTAAACTTTTTTAAACCTAAATAACAACTAGCATGCCAACCACACACTTCCTGACTATCAAAGAGCACATAGCAGACATTTAAAAAATATATATCTTAATAACAACTAGCATGCTAACCGCACACATCTTGATTATCAGAGAGTACATAGTGGATTTGTTTTTTACCTCAACAATAACTAGCATGCTAACCGCACACTTCCTGATTACTGGATTATCAGAGAGTACATAGTAAACTTTTTTAAACCTCAATAACAACTAGCATGCGAACCACACACACCCTGATTATCAGAGAGTACATAGTGGGCATTGTTTTTTAACTCAGCAACAATTAACATGCTAACCGCACACTTGCTGATTATCGGATGTAACACAGTCATTTTGTTTGGAATGGTAACAACAGCTAGCATGCTAACCACAGACTTCCTGACAATCAGAGAGTACAGAGCGGCCCTGTTTTTAAATCTAAACAACAACTAGCATGCTAAACACACACTTCCTGATTATCAGAGAGTACAGAGCGGCCCTGTTTTTAAATCTAAACAACAACTAGCATGCTAAACACACACTTCCTGATTATCGGACGTTACAAATCATTTTATTTATTTATTTATTACCTCTAGAGCTTCATATACAGTATATCCGTACTGGGGCAAGACTATGTGACTATGGGAAAACTTGGGTCCCGGCCTTTTAACACACTTCAGAGTTGAGTTGAGTTGGTGTTACTCTGGTGTAAGGACGCTGCTCTTTCATTAGCACAGATGACGTCCGTTGAGTAGGTGACAGGTTTAAAGCAGTGCCCAGGAAAAAGTGGTATTTTCTCTCACAGTTTGCTTTGGTCCCCTGAGCCGGGTTTGTGGGAGGAGAGGGCTGCAGATACTCTCTTCTGCTACTTTCATGTATTTTATGAAGTCCTTTATGGAGATGTAAAGGAAAGGTGCAAAATATGTGTGAGAAACTTCAAAGTAAAAGTTAGGAACACAAGTTTAAACGGTCAAAAGTCCTTAAATGGTGTCTATAACAGGAAAGGCACAAGTTACTGCCATAAACCAGTGTTTTCAGATCAAACTGATCATTAGATTAGATTTTTCTATGGATTCAGGGCTGAAAACAAAAGAACAGTCACGGATTTAGATGTTTTTGGAATCAAGGGCTAGAAATCATAAGAACTAAAAACAATATTAATTGTGAATAGGAATGCCAGCCTTTTCAGTTCCAATACTAATACCAATATTTTGACTTTGAGTATTATTGAGCAATACCAGTGTTAGGACAGAAAACACACTCATTTCCTTAAAACACAGTTAACTTATTACACAAGAGATCCAATAGTGTTATGTAACTGTTATTTATCCTTCAAATGACGACTGAATAGCTTCGTATGAATCAAAATCAGCCTGTAAATAGGTCCAATCAGGATATCGGCTTAAACGATTCCCGATCCAGCAATTTTTTCAGTATCATTCTATACCAGTATCGTGCATCCCGAATTGTGAGAAATTTAGAAACAAAAAGTCATTCTTGATCAATCTATACTCCAAAAAAGAAATCTAAATGTGCATGTGTGTCTGTTTACGTCATGTTCATAAAATAAAAGAGAATCAAGGACTGAATCATTTTTTGATCATGGTGCCAGTAAATGTGAATTACTGTCAAATCATGACGTTTTTCCCCGTGACCCCGTGGCCCCGTGCAGCTGTGCAGTGCCCTTCTTACCTCGCCCTCTCTGTGCCACGGCCGTCCATTCTGGGGGTATTTACTCTGGCTCTGGCGCTTCTTCTGCCCTCCGTCGGCAAATTTACACAGCAAAGGCTCCGTGGGGGCTGTGAAGAGAGAGGCCAGCATTATGAGGACCGCCTTGTGTGACCCCAACAAATGATACTACACCGATATAAAAATATAAAAAATACTTCAAATAGAAACAATATAAGAGACAGCAGGTACACATATATTAGTTATGAAGCGAAGTATAAATTCACCCAACTCTACATATCAACGCAACATGGGCAAGCGGAAGAAACAGACAAAACTGTTAGCAATATACTTCCAGACAGTAGGAGGAACTAGTGAACCTGTGGGACAAAACAACTTAAATCTGTGATAACTTTGTTCTGAAAAATGTATTCTCCTGTAAAGAAGAGAAGAGAGAAGAGGCTGAGAGTTCTGCTGCTGTGGAAGGTTTCAGAGGAATGCAATGGCGCTTATGAAACAGAAGAAAAAAAAGAGAGTAAAGATGATTGGCTGATGAGGGGATGAGAAGCAGAGCTGGCAGGCCGTGATTGACAATAACAACAGGGAAGGAGGGAAGATAAAGGACTGTATTTTTCTGACTATAAATCGCACCGGACAATAAGTCTCACTTTTGGGGGAAATTTATTTTGTAAAATCACAGACCAGGAAACGACATTTCATCTTGAAAGGCAAGTTCTAGTAATAATAACAGAATAGAGAACAACAGACTGAATAGGAGTCTGGTAATGTCACATATGAACAGTTATTCAGATAACTGTTACATAAACAACAGAACAGAACAAGTTTACCAAACTCTCAATCTCACTCCAGATCACTAAATCCATTGAATTCGTCATCCTCTTTGCCAATTCTGAGCAACTCCGTGACCTCCGGAGGTAAATGGAGCACCACTTCCTCTTCTGTATGTTGTCAGACTCTACATCAGTTCCAGTTTGAATTACTCCGGCCTTTCTGAATCCTGACAAGATGGTTTCGGTTGTCACTGAAGTCCAAGCTTTCGCAATCCATCCAGTGACTTCCAGGAAAGTTGCAGAGTGCACCCTCCCGGTTACTGTGAAGCTGTATTCTCCATCCCAACTCTGGAACTCTTTGCCCATAGAGTTACAGTCCATCCCTGACCTGCCTCTGTTCAAAGCCAAACTTAAAACCTACTTATTTAGAATGGCTTTTAACACTTAGTGGCCCTATGACACTTTTTTTTATTTTAATGGTGTAATGTGCTTTGTTGACCTGTTTTTATGATGTTTATTGTTTTTTATTTATTTATCTTGTTTTAATGTTGTACAGCACTTCGGTCGGCTTTGGTCGTTGGAAGGTGCAGTAGAAATAACTGATTAATTGATTGCTTGATCCCTCACAAGTTTCTCACTCCAAACTTTCTTTCAGTTGCTCGATTACATATCACTACTTGCAGCAGAACAAAGGCTTTTTCTTCAGGAGACATACGCAGTAGAGTGAGAAGTGACGGTGGTACAGGCGTAATAGGAGTAGTAGATACTGACACACAAGTCTAGAGCGCCCTCTCGTGGCTGTCAGTGTGAAAATTTTAATACATAAGTCGCACCGGAGTATAAGTTGCAGGACCACCCAGACCATGAAAAAAAGTGCGACTTATAGTCTGGAAAATACGGTACATTATATAGAGTATATTATTTATTATTGTTATTTGTCAAACAAGTTGAACAAAGGGTTAGTTCTAAGGTGTAAAAATACACAGACAATAATCAATAAAACCATTTAGAAAGTAGATACTCATTTCAACACACACGACATTTGACCTTATCTGAATAGTTTGAATACGTCTCAATCTATATTCACTTCATTTTTGTAGAGCAAACATTACTATGAAGAAAAGCATATGACGGACCCTCCACCAGAAAATTTAGACAATACACCTTTAACAAAACAATACAAAGTTAGAAAATCGAAACAATGAAATGTAGGCGAGTAAAAAACAAGAAGATTAATTAACATAAAAAGCAGAAATAGGACAAGACTGCATGCTATTATTATTCTGTGTTGTATCAGAATCAGTATTGATATAGAGGAATTTTCTTGGTGTTGAAATTTATTAGAAAATACTACGTGAAATGTACTAGTATGCAACTTTCTGAGAACTTTTTCCCCATTCAATTTACACAGTTTTAAATTATTAATCGCTACAGCAACAAAAAATACTCATCTGAACAGGTATTGAAAAACAGGTTGATATATTGAAATATTGAAAAACAGGTTTGAAAAATAAAAACACAAACAAGATTAGATCTTTCCTGAATAGTTTTTATATGGTTTCAATCTATATTCAATTCATTGTATTTTTGTGGAGCTCAAAACCTCAATCTGCAACATTTGGAGGACTTTTCCCCCGTTCAAACAACACAGTTTTAAATTATTAATCGTTACAGCAACATCCCTAGTTTCTCATTATTCTGAAACCCACGAAGGACAACCTAACCCGTATGTTTTGCGAGATAACTGCAGCACCCGAAGGCAACCCACTCAGACACAGACAGAACATGCAAACTCCACATGGAAACTGCACCTTGAGCCATGTTGCTGTGAGGCGAGAGTCTAGAAACAGAGATAATTCAGTCTTCCTGGTTGAATTTACAAATCCATCTCTCCTCCGCCCCCCTCCCCTCTGGCTCTGCCCTCCTGAAGAGCTCCTCCACAAATTCCCAGAGCAGTGATTTTGGCAGGGCCTCGGTCGCCATGACGAGGCTGGCAGTGTATGAAAGAGCGGAGCTGGGTATTGTTGAAATAATAATCACAGTAATCGTACTTATAACTGCTGCTGACACGCTAATGCAGGCCCCTCTGTCAGCCAAAATCATTTCATGAACTGTTCCTGTTCCCACTGCATTCTGCACGGCTCTCACATGGTTTAAAGAGCCCAGATTACACTACTTTCTGATCTGTTAGAATGTTGTTTCCATCATCATCCTCATCAAACATACCTGGACGTGTGTTTTGTTTCATTCACACATGTTTAACACACAAACTCTATATATTTAGGCTGAGTTCTTCGCTTAAACAGAAAACACAGTCCCACCTTGTGACCATTTTGAGTTTTGGAGAAGTAGACAGACTAATAAAGTGTTACTCAAACCTGTGTGAATGAAACAAAACACAACTCCAGGTATGTTTTGAGGATGTAACAACACTCTAACATGGCTTAAAGCTCATAAGTTGCATAATATAGAACCTTTAAGATGACTTAATGGCGCAAATTAAGCAGATTTTAAAATGTTATATGTAAAACGTTTGTGTGTATCTGTAGTTTAAAATGTGCTACAAATTCACCAGAAGTCCCCCCAAACATTCTGCTTGTTTCAGTGGAGATGTTTTGCTTTGTTGAACATCTCTATGTTACATTGATTACATTATAATTAGTGTTACTACTAAGAATGTTTGTCTCATGGAGATAATATTATGAATACCACTCTGTGGAACATTCCTGGCAAAGAATGGAGACAAGCAGACAAAGACCCTGCCTGGGTACTTAACGGTCCAATATGTACCTACTTAAAGGTACACAGTCAACTGTTAAGTATAGAAACAAAACTAAAGAAAATACTGTAAAATAAATGTATTGTATATAATGTATATAAATGTACAAGTATGTAGCTCATTTATGCAGCTGTGGGTTTTTCTTTCATGGAATGTGACACTTGGTGTTTGCCTTGCATTACATGTACGTCGTCTGCCGAGATACCAGTCTAAATATGTTCATATACTGTATGCACTTTGAAATATGCATCATATTTGTTATATATTAAAAAAATCTGGAATAGGAAAAATAGTCTGAAGTCTGAAGTCAAGCATATCAAGATGACTGAACCAGTGGTGGACAAAGTACTCAACTTTGTTACTTGAGTAAAAGTACAGATGAAAAGGTAAAACATTACTCAAGTAAAGGTAATAGTGTCACATGCAAAAAATCCACTTAGGTAAAAGTATTAAAGTACCTGTTTAAAAATGTACTATAAGAGTAAAAAGTAAAATTATTTTTGCAGAGATTTTTAGAACAACTAGAGGCTGAAATGTAATGATTTTGATAAAGAATGTATCTGATTTTAAGTGATTCAACTGATTTCTTAATTTTTCTAGCTGCTTTTGTGTATTTGGGTGTTTGGTTTTCTTAATGTTGTTAACTCACATTAAATGTACTAAAAAAAATTAAGTCTCCACAATTGCAGCAGGTCACAAACCATAAAGAAAAAACGTTTTACTTTTCAGTCCAGGGCTAAAATGTAGTGAAGTAGAAAGTACAGATACTTGCCCTCAAATGTAAAAAGTAAAAAGTAAAAGTAAAGTACAGATACCTAAAATGTATATTGTACGTGTTGCCTTGTCACCAGTGTTGATTACCTGCACAGAGTTAAACGTATCACATACACATTATTATTTGAGTGTGTGTGAGGTCAGTGTCGAGCTCTCACACACAACAGCGGTAGAAGTGGAGTCTGGTTCAAGCGTGTGTGTTTCTTTTGTATGCACACGTGTGATAAAAGCCTCTGAGCCACACATGACCTCGGCCCTGGAGATAAGTGTGCAAAGGGCATGCTCTCACACACTCCTCTCACACTGGAGCTGCAGGTGAGCCACCGCAGAAACAGAGCGGCTAAATGACTGCGCTCATCAGATACAGCGCCGAAAGACCAGAGACAAGAGGCATGCTGGGAGTTTTCTCATGAGAAACTGGTGGCATTTAAACTGGTGGCATTTTACCCAGGGATCTGCAAGTCCTGAAACAACATTATATTTCTTTAGTTTACTTTTTACTACTATTGTTTATATAGATCTAGCAGTCATCGTCCAGAAACAACAGGGGCACGCCTCATAGAAGTGTTCCCAAAAAACTACTTTCTTGAGGTTTCTAACTTGTCTTTTTTTTTTTATCAACAGGTGTCTCCTCATCCAAATACTCCCTGGAGCTGTCGTTTTATTCATGCCTGTTTGAAAATCATGAATTGTCAGGTATGAATCACACAAACTCCTTTTCATTTGATTTTGTTATTCTGCCCCCTGCTGGTCTCTTCACTGGCTTCTTTCAGTAAAAGTTAAGTTA